CTGTTGCCTGAGCCCTGTTCTCTGTGCCCCCCTCCCCCCAGTGGCTCCCTTTTGCAGGATTCCGGGAAGAGCAGGTGATATCACCAGAACCTTTGGCAGAACAGGTCTGGTGTCTGAACCCAAGAACCGTGCTCTGGGCCTGTGGGGCTAGGCCAGGACCTGAGGGGTTCATGGCACCCTAGAAGCTGGGCAGCCTTCCCCCAGCTCTCCACACCAGCTGCCTCACTGCCCAGAGGGGGGTCCCCTCTTTCTCAGGCCTGCCCGTCAGCAAGACCCCAGATCCTGACTCAAGGACCCTTTCCCCTTCACTAGAAAGATCCCTGACTTCCTCCCAGGAAGAGGAAGTGACCTAACCTTAGAATAAGGTCCAAACATGCTGTGTCCTCTGCCCCCATATTGTCAAAGTTCCTCCGGACCCCCACCTGGGAGCCTACTTCAGTGTCCCCTTGAGGGCTGGGGTCTCTCGCCGTTCTGCAGGAGAACCTGTCACCAGGCGTCTGAATGCAGGGTCCCTGGGGTTGAGCTGGGTGGGCAGCCTCACATGACAGCTGCCCCCTCACACACATGACACCCTCACCCCTCACCCCAAACTCAGCAGAGTGTCCACAAGCCGTGCGCCGTGCGGAGGGAGCACGCAGTTACATGATCTCATTTACGAAGACCGGTTAGCTGACGCATGGGGCCACATTGCCGGAAAGCCGTGTTTCCAGAGGGCACCCAGGAAGAGCTGTAGCTTTTCAAGTGCAGCTACCTGAGTCGCACCTGACCACCCCACAGACACAAATGGCGTGACAACCGCACCTTTTGGGAAGCTGAGACAGCCCTGGTCCTGTGTCCACTCCTCCTGACCAGTGCTAGATAACGCTGTGGCCAGGTGGGTGTTCAGAAACTTTGGCCCGGGTTGGGGAGACCTGGCAAGTCTTATGGGGTAAGCTGAGTGTCGGGGAGCATAGGGGAGACTGGTGGGCACCGAAATACACTGAACAAATTGTCAGAGGACTTCAGAAAGTTCTGCACTTGGGAATGGAGTGAGGGAGGCCAAGTGGGGACAGGGGCAGCTACCTGCGGAGTAGCTGAGGGTCCCACAAAGGCAGGGGACTGAGTCGCAAAGCAAGACCCACAGGTTTTAAACAGGTGAGTTTGTGTCTGCTGCTCCCGTGTGGTCAAATTTATGAACTGCAAACTCACCAAGGAAAGTAGTTTTCAAAGTTCAAACTTTCAGCTGTGCTTTTGAAGCTCTAGGGGTGGTTGACTTGGCCTTTGGTCTCCTGCTGGTGACAGGGTCACAGGTTGTTACCTGTCTCGTAAAGGAGCCCTCAGAACCGCTTCCTGGAGCCTGGAGTGCCTAGGAACGCTCCCAGAAAGTCTGCACAGGACTCACTGTGGATGGGAGAGCTGACCACCCCGTGGGTGCGGGAGCAAAGCCTTTCCGTTCTGTGCCGCTGTCTACATCTGGAGCAGAGACAGGGCCCAGGGCAGCCCGGTGGGAGGCAGAAGTATGGCCGGCCCAGTAGACAGAACCGCGCAAGGAGAGCAAGCCAGGCCTTCCCCCTCCGAGGTCCGCCTGTGCCCAGACTCAGAGTCAGCTGCGGCTCGCATGGCACCCCAGCAGCCCCCAAGGGCGCGCGCAGTATGGGGTGCCAAGCGTTGGAAACCCGGCATGTCCTTTGATTCTCCTTCACGACCCAGCCGTCCGGCCCCCAGGCCTGGGAGTCCTCGCAAGCGCGTGTCCTACTCACCCATCTCTCCCTAACCCTACTGTCCCTGCCCTGGCACAAGGCTCTGTCTTATGTCTGGACTCTTGTGACAAGCCCCCCCCCGCCACACCCCACTCTGAGGCTGGGGGCCTGGGGCTTGGAAAGTTGCCTGTGATGGGCGTCTGTGGAATGGGTGACACGGAGGCGGGAGCGGGGGGCAGGCTGAGACCTTCAGGGCCGCTTTGGTTGGAGACTTAATGACAAAACACAAGCCCACTGGTTGGGCTGGTGAGTCAGTTGGGAGTGAGGATGCGAAACCAGCTGGTGCCCTCAACTCTGCTGAGAAGCTTGGCTGAAAGGGGATCAGAGAGGAGGAGTGGTGGAGGGGGTTTCTGGGCTGAAGGAGGGCTCTTTTGCCATTTAAGGGAAGGAAACTCAGGGCAGGTTTGTTTCTTTATACATACATATATATTTATATATATACATTTTAAAGATTTTTTTACTTATGCACACAAAATTGGGGTACAGGCCAGAGGTGCAGGGGCAGTGAGGATTCACCAGAGACAGAGCGGGGAGCAGAACAGGCAGGTGAGGAAGTACACCGCTGAGGGGAGCAGCGGGGAGACAGGCGGGGTCTGCTGCGCCCTGCGGGCCACTCCCTGGCCGGGAGTCGAACCATGCCGCAGTGCCCGGGACAGCTTGATGTCAGGCTGAGACCAGGGCAGGCTTCAGTGCACTGGACACGGACGAGGGTCTAGCCCAGAGGGAAGCTGTGGCCCCAGGGCCAGTGAATCCACAGGCCGAGCTTGCATTTCCTTGTCTGGAGGAAAAGAAGGTCCACGCCTGCTGTGCCCGTGTCGCAGGCACCGTGAAGCCCAGGGAGGGACACGACAAGGGTGCTGAACCATGCTGGCTGCCGCCTTTGGAAACGGGGGGTCGAGCAGGGCAAGGCCGCGGGAAGTGGGCCGCGGCCGCCATGCAGGCACGCAGGTCTCGCGCCAGGCCTCCCTCCGCCGGCCACGTGCTGCGGCCCCAGTGCTGTCGGAGGCCAGGAACTTGCCCCCAGCCACCCAGGCGGTCGAGGGCCGTGCTGAACCCAGGCCCCTGGCGGGGCTGCGACCGCTGTCTGTGGGGTCTCCGCGGGACGGACCCCACGGGACGGCGGAGCGCAGTCATGCTGCAAGTTTCCCTGGAAGGGTCACATGAGGCGTGTTCTGTACGGAGAAAAGTCCGTCGGCACAAAGACTAAGTGACTGAGGTCTCTGTCACCAAAAGACGCCGCCTCTGGGTCGCGGTTGAGGGCAGAATGAACTCAAGAACGGGGCCCTCACTTCACAGACCCTTCTAGTCTACCCTGAACGCACTGTCCCTCTCTCATCCCAGAGGGTGGGGTCCCCGCGGGGGGTCACAGGCCGTGCAAAGTAGAGAGGACACCTCGCAGCGCCTTGCAGGACACCCTGCCGTGGGGCGGCCCTGAGCGGGAGGGGCGTGGTCTTCCAGGGTCTGGTCCTTTGGGGGCTGGGGTGGGAGGGTGGGGACGGGCGTAGGGGCGGGTGGGCTGCAGGGTGTGCTTCTAGAAGGGAGTGCCCGCTGGCCTGCCCACCCCGGGGCTCTGGGCCTCCCTTCTTGGCTGTGCATCCCTCACTGCCGCCCGTGCAGGTCCCTGGTACGGACGATTCGCTGTTAGCAGCAAGGAAAAAGGCACGTCACCAGCACCTGTGGCTTCACAGGACAGAGACCGCCACAGCCCGGGGGCTCCTGGGGCCCCCTGGGCTGTCTCGCCCAGCGCAGTAGCGAGCGTCTGTTTGGGCGAATCTTGGAGAAAAGTTTCAATGATGTTCTGTAGCCTATCTCACAGAGGGGGACACTGTATATATTTCTGAGAAATCGTTTGCCTCGGGAATGGTTAGTATCCAGAGGACATGAAGAATTTACATAACTGAATAACAGCAAAAAAGGGGCCTGATTAGAGTGGGCCAAGCTGCTGTAGCCATCTCTCCAGAGATGAAATCCACGTGGCCAGCAGCATGCGAAAAGGCCTCGGTGTTGCTAAGCGCGAGGAACTGGCAACTCAAAGCCACAGGGACAGACTCTGCATCCTCACGAGGACACCACTAGCAGCAGAAGCAGGGTGGGAGACCCCGATGTAGACCGCACTGGGCTTTCAGGCCCTGCCCTGGGCCAGTCCCTTTTGGGTAGACTTTTACCCACCAGGGGGTGGGTAACTTTGGGTGTTTGATTTAGAAACTATATTCTTTGTCTTTTCTGTATTGCACACTCATGTAATGTATTAAAGTTCTTTTCCATAAAAGGTCTCATATGTTTTGTCTTGATGCAGCGGATGGCAGAACCTAGTAGAACAGGCAGGTTTGGGGTTCAGGGGTGTCCTTCTCCCTGCCCTGTGACAGTTCCCCGTCTTCTTTCTGCACCAATAGATGTTCTTCCCTAACACAATATTTAAAAATAGTTACTGTTCCTAACAAGTGTCTTGGGAATTCAGCTCTGTCAGGGATACCTGGGCGGGGGGGCGAGGTGGAGACAGGGAGGACAGCAAACATTTGTATGCAGGTTAGTTGGCATCCAGAGAGCTGAACTTCAGCGTTCCCCTTAGAAGGCTTTCGGGCTGAAAGGAGACACAGTGGGTGACAGATTGGTTAAAGTCATAAGATTTTTCTGAGCAAGTCTCGGTCACCGTCTCTATTGAAATACACAAAGAAAAAAAGGTCAGAGTGTCTGAGCTGCTAAGAACGTGAAGCAATGAATTCAATTTTTCTTTTTACATTCAAGGAAAAGGACATCAGAAAAGTGAAAAAAGTGGATGGCGACCGAATTGGAATAGAGCTGGAGAAGCTTACTGGCTTAATGTTAGCCTTTACGTTCTCCTTAAAGCATAAAAGGCATGCTAGCTTCTAGCTTTCATCTTTGTTTTGATTTGTGTGTTCCATTCCCAGTCTGAGAAAGCTCAATGGGAAAATCATTAAAGAACGGAATGAACTGTATAGATCGATGACGAGAGATTCACGAGGAAACTAGAGCGCATAAATAAGAGAAATAGTGAAAGAAGATGCAATCAGACCAGGTGGAATTTCAGGGAGACGCCTGGGGTTAGGGGTATGAGCCCCATCTCGTGGCCTTTCTGGAGATTGCCTCAAAGTTTACATTTTTGAACACAAAATTGTAAATCCAGACTACCTGTGGGGTGGATGAGTAAATCTAGAATAATAAATGAGTCTCAAACTTTTGGGGGTCGGGAGAGGCTGGCATGAAAAGGCAGATGTCTGGGTCATTGCTCCAGAGGCCAGTAGATGAAAATGGGCCCAGAAAGCTCCCCCTGGGCACTGGGGTAAAGGACTCTTGTGAGGAAAGGTTTGGAAGGATCTTGCCAACTACAGTAACAAGTCAGGGGTTTTGCTGCACTTGCAAGCTGCCTGCGGGCTTGTGGTTGCAGGAAGCTGAGATTCAGTCTCGGGGAGCCTAAGGCTCTGTGATGAGGTTGCATTACAGAAGAGGAACCAGGCTGGGGGCCCAAGTCCTATATTAGGGAGCTGCAGAGGGTCAGACTCTGGCCGGAGCGTTTAACACTGTCTTTCTAGGCTGTTCAGCACGGAAGCATCCTGGAAATAGCGTCTGGGTAAGGCAGCCTGGGTCTCTGGTTCCCTGACTTGAGGGACCTTGTTTTCTGACAGAAACCGTGAGTGAATGTGCGGCGAGGAAAGAAGCCCATATCTGAGGCTGCAAAGGGGTGGAATTGTGGCAGAAACGGGGAGCACGGGAGAGACCAGCCCGCCACGCCCCGGGCTCAGCCGGGATCGCATGGCACGCGCTCCGAGCGCCCCAGTTCCGCGCGGGGCATGCAGCATCCCTGTGCGCTCCGTGTCCCTGCGAGCCTCACGGGCGAGACGTCCAGGGCGGGCTAAAGGAAAGGCTCCGGGACTGCACACCCCACTCTCATCGGAAGTGCGGCTCCCGCGACGCGGAAGCCCCGCGAGCCGCAGGGAGCGCGATCTGGGGAAGCAGAGCCGACACGCCCGGGTCTGGGAGCCTCGAGGAAGCCGGGACCGGCCGCTCTTCCGGGGTTTCCCCGCGCCGACCGGAACTGGGCGGAGCGTCTCGGGCGCGCCCCGCGCGATTGGCCGGCACCGCCGTCCCTCGG